TCCGCTTCTTTTCTTACACTATAACGGTGGATAGCCTGAGTGACGTTGCGATCGGCTGCTTCTTGGCCATGAACGAGACCGAGCATCTCTCGTTGTAGCCAGGGGAAACCCAAGTCAATGGGCATTGGGAACTGGGAACCCGAAGTAACCGGAATGCCTGTCCTTGAAAGCCCCTGATTCCGCTGAACCTAAAGACGCAACATATCAGATCACTCGGGGCCAAGCACCTAGTCCAAGCCAAGGCACCCTTCGCTCCAGCCGCAGCGGAAGATATCCATGGATTTGGATAGCCGCAAGGGTGGTGTTTGAAGACGCAAGTTGGAGTGATGGTGGCTTGAATACATCATTTGCCGTTCTTTCGCCTATCATCCAAAACCGCCTCGATTCTCTCGAGCCTATCTCCTTTAGGCATCATCAGGCCGTCAAAAAGTTAGTCCACTGTCAATGGGGTCTAGTTTTTATGGTTTGCCAAAGCCGAGAAAGTTCGACCACCGGCCACCATATCAAACAACTTGTGCCTCGGGTCGCAGCCAAAGGCGAGATGAACGCTCCCAGCACACCACCTTCACCCGCTCTGCCGTCTGGTGCCGCGGTGAAGATTGCCGTTGCCCGGTCCCCTCCTTTGTCCCGCTCCAGCAAGCCGCACTGCCTCGGCGTCCGTCTGGAACACGAAATGGAACAAGCGAAGAAGGGGGTCAAAAATCAGCCACCACCTATGTAGAATTGCGAACCAACCGTGTTACCGTGTAGCCTAGCTCGATCCTCCAGCGCCATTGGGCCGTTTCCTGTCAGACCATGCCCGGCCTTAGTTAAACCTCCGTGAATTGCTGCAGGTCCCCCGGACGCTAGTCTCGGTGCAGAATCCCCCATTCCGGAAAGGCTTCAGCAACGGCCCTCTTCCTTCTCTTCCGAAAGCTCGCAAAAGCTCTGCCTGCACGCTAGACCTGCAGCCTCTCGCAGCCCGTTCATTACGGCTGGAGCGTGCAGCATCAAGGCGGGATCGAATCGCACGCACCCTGACAAGCCTGACAAGTCTGGCATAGACATTAGTCTCCACGCAATACGCACGCGAGGGAGACCAGTCGAAGCTCGCGTAAATTGTGAGGAGATTGAGATACCGTCATTTATCCAGCGATCCGATCCACGTCTCTTACCCTGGATGCGGCAGCGCGGCTTGTTGTCTGTGCTTGTGCATCATGGCCCCGTCCATCCCTCCAGCGTCGCATGCCGCCTGGGGCCCTTTGAAGGTCCCACTTCTCATCTCATCTGGTCTTCATGCCTCTGGATGGGGTTTGAAAAGAGAGTTCGCCCTCCTTCTTCCAATCTATCCCACTCGGCTTCGCTCCTAATTCTTAACCCTATTGTACATGTATGAAGGAAATACTGCCCGACCCCCCAGTTTGTGCCGCTGCCAGATCACCATCAAGGATCCACATATAACGAAGGAAGACAAGATTTTATATATCAGCCAAGACAGACATCGGTCTTCGATGAGAACAAGGATCCTGTAGGGGCCTGTCCCGCTTGAGCATAGCAGTATGGCTTCCGACCAAGTGAGGCAGAATAGCCTCATCATAACAGCATGCTTTTTCACAGCAATCTCAAGTAAGTCGATTGGTTGGAGATTGAGACAACGTGAGAACTGACATAACTGGTGTAGCCATGGTTGTGATTGCCAGAACATTTGTTCGAGCAGTTCTGATCCGAAAGCCTGGCCTCGACGATTACTCCATGATCATTGGAATGGTTTTCACTCTCGCCTACCTCGCAGAGATCTTTGTCGGAAAGGCCAACCATATTGGCTTCCCCTCCAAAGATTTGAGCCTCGACAACATGACAAATCTCCTGAAGAATACACTGGCAATTCAAGTTACGTACTATGTTTGCATATCAGCAATCAAGATATCCATCTTGTGCATGTATCTCAGGTTTGGTATGTCTTTCTATAACATTATGGTGGAGGTATCATGTGCTAACTCTGCTGGTAGCTGGCACCAGGTCGCTCAACATTCTGTGCATATGCACCATTGTATTTCATCTATTATTCTTCGTCATCTGTATTGGAGTCACTCTATCTCAGTGTCAACCACTCTATGAGATGTGGGACTTGACTGGGACTGTCGATGGGGTGTGTATTAACACCACCGCCTTTTTCTATTGTGAGTTATCAGCCATCGACCATAATCCACTGATCATCCATGCATGTCAAACTCTTTACTAACGGTGGCCAGTCACATCCGGTTTCAACATCGTAACCGACATTTGGATTCTCGTCCTCCCTATCAAAACTTTGATGGGTATTCTTCGCCCGCGGCGAGAAAAGATCGCGCTGGGCATCATTTTCGGCGTTGGCGTGTTTGCAACAATAACATCCATCGTCCGGTTACACACCATTTACACATATACCCTCGCCAAGGATCTGTTCCAGGAGAGTATCCTCATTAACATCTGGTCCATGTTGGAGATCAACATCGGAATAATATGCGCCAGTGTTCCTGCACTGAAACCCCTGTTTACTCCTCGCGCCCTACGGGAAGCCGCAAATCGGAATAAGCCCGGGGGTTATCAGTATCATAGTCATGAGAGATCAGGTTTCCATTCCAACAATTCAAAATCATCGAGAGACAGGACAGAAAACCCTTACAACTTGGATCGAGTGGGTGGGCAGGTAAACTCAAAGACGGTACTACAGAGCACATCACGCATGTCAGGTAGTGAGGATAGTATCCTTGGGGTATGAGTCACGAGTATCAAAACGACTGGGGATTCAAGGCGTTTAAGCGATATGTACTTCGGAGAAGCAACGCTTCCGTCACGTTGGGGGCGTTGGGGTGAAGATATTATGACATTATGCAACCACCGTTCAATCACTCATAGAGTAGGTTGCTACGTGCTATGGACATATCTGTTTGGGAATGAATGTTGAACAGTTGAAGATGTGTTGAACATTTAGCAATTCATCATTGATCTTTCGATGCGCAAAGAAATGAGGGTAGGCATGTCACCTCATTGACACGCTAGCTAGTGCCCTATCGGTATGACGAAATACCTAGTTCAACTGACTGTATCAAAAGGTAGGCTCTATGCCGCCTCATCTCCAGCCTTGCAAGAATATGTGTATGTGGACTTCGACTCCAGAGGGAACTAAACGCAAAACCTCTAACTAGAGAAATGACTGTGGATAACACACGATTCCTGCGGCCTTTTGGGACAAGTACCTTATCCAGGGTAAGCTACCTCGGATATGGACATGAAAGCAAGTGCGTACGTGTCCATCAAGCAGGACTGCCTCGCAAGCTCATCGACCTTAATCGTCCATCGGCGAGCATCAAGCAATTAAGATGTAGTAAAAGGCCGTCACTCATCACAATTTAAGGTACCAAGTAGGATAGTGCAGCGACTTGGACATGCAAAGAGCTGAGTTAAGCGTGAGTCGCATGATATCGATCAACCAGAAATGCGAGACGATGAAAACTACCCAACGGAAACATGTTTTCAGCTACGGAACTGCTAATTCCAAAATACAAGAAAATTTGGCAGGTTATGCGTCTTGCATTTATAAAACGAACAAAGGGACGGGATGGAAAGATATCAAATAACAATTGGAGAACATCCACAACTCGCGATTGATCAATATGATGACGAGCTAAGAGCGATAGATCAATTTCGATAATATCTGCATGATACTAAGAAGTGAATATCACGGGTTTTCAAAGCAATTACTTGAGCTGTCGGGGATTCTGAGTATTTCAGCAAGATCGGGTTCAAGAAGGCAAGTTAAAGCAGCAGTGGGTCTTATTACAACGTGAACCCACAGCCATCAACTACTTAGTTACGCCTACCTCGATAGGCCGCAGATCAAGACCACGCGGACAGATCAGACCGCGCAATTAGAACAAGCTCACTGTTACATGTAACCCTACTATCAGTCTTACCTGCTTCGGAAGGCTGGACCCCTCGTCTGTGCTGCTTTGTGATGGCGGCCTCTTGATGACCGTGGCTTGGACCCTGGTTGAGTCTGGCGTCATCATTGGTGGCTTTTGTTATGCTTATGTGCCATCGACAAACAATTTCCATCCACAGACTGATCAACCCTTCTCACATCCCGCAGCCCGAAACCGGCCATGAGGAAGCTGTGGAATGGAAATACGCAGCATAATCACTATTTTGGTTGCGAATGAGCAAGAATTATGAATTGCTCCATTGCGACCTCTAGTGCCCATTTCCTGTGTGAAATACGAATTTTGGTGAGCGTTGGATGCGGTCAGTTGAGATACCTCAAATGACCTTGATTATTATCCCTGAAAGGACAAAATCATGCCAGACGGTATGCTATGTGTAGGTATGCTGTGTCTGCTACATATTTATGCGGAGGGCGAACCCATCTTCAGGGTTGCCTTCGATCGTCGTGCCTTTTTCCACAAATGGGCAACTCTTCTTTAATGATGTACACGTGGAAACCACACACACACACACACACACACACACACACACACACACACACACAGATCAAATGGTACAAGCGATAACCTTCGTAGGATCTCGACTTAGCGCGGTATCTCCGGGTTTGTGGGGTAGACTCGGATGCGTCCCGGTGACAACCCCCTGCGTCGAGCTAAGCTTATGCCATATAAGGGTGCTCGGAAAAGGGAAGGCAAGTTATTTGCAGGCAGACCCAGATCAGACTACTTACTGATTTATCTGAAAACACGTTGATGGTTCGTTACTGGTGGAATCCTGTGCGGGAAAACCTTTTCCTTCATTCATCAAATATGAGGCTGAAGATAGCGGATGGGCTAGGAAATGCTCAGTTGGGTGGTATCTTCGATACTTGGAAGCAACCAGAGAAATTTTGACTATCGAATCATTGCTTTAACAAAACTCCAATAGCTATAAGTACAGCGTTATATCCCTAAGTGAACCAAGATCACATCAACAAGCTTCACCCCTGATCTCCAGAGCCAAGACTTCCCAACGCCCTGCTCCCGGACAACGCCAAGATGCACCAATACTACCTCCTTGCTCTCCTTCCCGCGGTCTTGGGCTGCCTTAACACCGATACGAACGCCTGTGCCAGCTACATCAAGTCCAACGCCGCCGCGTCGACCTTCTGCGCCACCTTCACCAAGAGCACCGTAACTGCCACCACCGCTCTACCCGCCTGGGCTACCAACTGCTCGCAGAAGCCGAGTCTAATCTCCGCTGAGTGTACCTGCGCCTACAGTGGTGCTGGTGGTAGCTCGCCGACTACAACGTTGAAGACTACTACTGCCGCAGGAGGCTCTACGCCCACCGGAGTCACTACCACTCTACCCAAGTCCACTGGAGCTACTTCTACCAGCAAGGCCATCACCGTCTCTGCTGGACAGTCTTATGATGGCGGCATGAAGAAGTTTGACCGCAGCCGTACGTTGTCAAGACGAGTAAAAGAATAACGGATGATTGAATACTGATTCCAGAGCAGCTAGGGTTTGCGCTGAGCAAGATGAGACAGGTGAAGCTGATGCTATGTTCGTGCTTGAGGCTGGTGCCACCCTCTCGAACGTCATTATTGGGCCCGATCAGGCAGAGGGTGTTCACTGCAAGGGAACATGGTCTGTCATTCCTCATTTCTGAAGGGAGTTTCGATGCTGATTGACTATAGCACACTGTATGAAAACCACCAGAAGAAAAGACATGGAGAACAGCAGACTGACAGTGGATAGTAACAACGTTTGGTGGGAAGACGTTTGCGAAGATGCTCTGTGAGTCTTTCTATATCAGTTGTGCAATCATTTCTTGTTGACATCTTTCACTCCAGGACCTTGAAGCAGACCAGCGGAACCTCTTACGTCAACGGCGGTGGTGCCTTCAAGGCCGCGGACAAGATCGTCCAATTCAACGGCTTTGGAACTGTCTCAATTAAGAACTTTTACGCTAATGAGTGAGTCGAAATCATCGTCTTTTGCCGTGATGCAACCTGCTAAAACGTCAATAGCTACGGAAAGGTCGTCCGAAGCTGTGGTAACTGCAGCGGTAATGGAGGTGCACGCAACATTGTCATGAACAACGTGATTGCAAAGGACGGTGGAGTCCTCTGCGGCATCAACACCAACTACGGCGATACCTGCAAGGTCACTAGCTGTTGCCAAGATGACAACAAGATCTGCGATAGGGTATGATGACTCTAAGCCTGACATCTCTTTGCATGTATAAGGAAGATTTACTTACTTTGGACTGTAGTACACTGGAAATAACAGTGGTGCCGAGCCTACTAAGATTGGCAGTGGCCCTGACGGCACTTACTGCGTCGCCACAAGCTTCACCACGGCCTGTTGATCGTCTGTAATGATGACGACCAAACGATCTGTATGAGGTGGCTTTGTTTAAGCTGTTTCTTGCTGGTTCGAAGCTGAAGGCTCGTAAGCAAGGGTGGGAGGTTTGGAAGCTTCTGGCTCGTGTAACGTTGTAGCTTGCACTGTACATAGCTGAATTATTCACTCAAACCTATGTTATCTGTAGCTTGCTTGTCGCTAAAGCAAGGAATCAAATGACTGGCCATGCGGCGAATATCTCGTTCGCCCTAGTGCACTTCAATGACTCAGTCCATCGCATGCCAACGATAAGTTGTTCGGCGACTCGATTCAGGCCGAACACAAAGTTTTCAAGATCTTCCCACGCATCAGTACTCAGATTTGCGCCAGCGAGCAGATCCGAATTGTGTTTTCTCGAGGCTTGATCGAGTCGAACAGAATCTCAATGCATCTGACATCCTTACTTAGTACTTTGTTAACGTTGGTTGACGTGTTTCCCAGAAACATCTATGGTACCTGTGCCCTAGGTGGCACACACCACTCGTGTCTATAGCTAGTAACCGGTAGAGTAATATGCACTCAATGTTGAGGTTACATGGCGTATATGGACTCTTGGCAAAACCACCTTGCGACTCTACTCCATCCCAATGTGCTCCAGTCATCTCCAGTCGGCCAACTTCTGCGTCTGGGCTTCTTATTTCAAGTCTGGGTTCATCCCTTTGAATACAGTCCAAATCGGTGGCTTCTTTATCAAAATGACGAAATGCGGAGCCTGCAAACCAAAGACCAGTGTTCTCGATCATCGCCTATGGGCTCTGCGGGCTACGAGCACTCCCAGGCGGTTAGGAAAAGGTATGGAGTTCTGCGGCAACTTTACCAAGACGGTCATCGCGGACGTTTCCGCGGTTCCGGGCTATGCTACGGGGACTTGTGCAACAAACATCATTTCAAAAGTTGGCTCAGCATGTCCTTGCTTGCCCACGACGACGAAAATCGAGCTTAGATAGCGTAGCTCAAAGTCCTCGTCCTATCTAATTATCGCCTCACCGAGATAAGTTGGCCTTGAGCAAGAGTCATCCATGCTCAACTCGACGACTCTCACTGAGAATCAAGGTACAAACAAGCTGATCTAGGGAGTTTTTTCCTGCCTTCATTCTACTTAAACACTAAACGATGGCGACAAGTATTAATACTCATCTCGACAGCAGGTCATTTTTGTCCATTGTTATCGGGGTCTTCGAATCATTGTAGCGCAAAGTTATTATCTCTTCGGAGAGGACCGGACACTAGAAGCAAGCTTTCTGCCAGGATCCACCGGTTCCAGATCCACAATGACAAAGCCGGTCCCGGCGCCCTTCCAAAAAATTGTATCCGTAATCCGAATCTTCCATTCCCGTTTCTTTCGGTTTTCGAACCAAAACCGATTGAGCAAATAACATCGGAAAACATGCGCTCCAGTCTCTCCTGCGAATTCTGCCGGTATGTCCCCCAATGGTCTCCGGCCTCGCTTCCGGCGTTCGATCGGATCCGATGTAACGGCCGCTGACCCAGTTTTTATGACCCCGCAGACGGTCCAAGATCAAGTGCGTCAACAGCGGAAGTCCGCCGTGCACCAAATGCGAGAAGTCGGGAAGATCGGACTGCGTACTTACCAGACCCCACGTCGCGCCGAATGGACGGGCGGCGAAGCGGGCGCGGCGAGCGACGGAAGAGGCTTCATCTGTATCCCATGATCAGGACATTGAGTCTCAGCGACAACTTCTCTCTGCGCCCCATTCACGGGGCCCGGCGACGCCGTCGTCGGGATTGGAGTATCGAGATGGCAGGCAGGAAATGGACCACCATCTCGAGCAAATCCCCAAAGATGTTGTCTACATCGCTCTCGAGGCCTTCTGGCGCAAGTTCCCTGAGCTTCGCGTTATCCACCCCTCATCTTTCATGAAATCATTTGGGTCGAATTGCCCTAGAGAAAGTAAGGCGTTGTTGGCCACAGTTCTTGCAATGACCAAGACCCAGAAGCCGGATTCAGATCGTCTGCGATCGCAGATCCTCTTTCCGAGCGAAAGGTATGCATCCTATGCGTGTGATGTCCTAGCAGCATGCATACTCCAGCCACCAGATGTCAAAGTCATCCAGGCTCTGCTTATTCTTACGTTGTATGAATGGGGCACGCGAGATTTCCACAAGGCCTGGATGCATTGTGGTAGGCCAACTTCCAAAGTCTTACGTCGAATGTGTCTGACATCAAACAGGAATCGCAATTCGCATGATGCAATTACTTCATAGCTCGCGAGTAGCACCCTTTCCACTTGAGATCCCACAACGCAGCGAGCAAAACAGCCTCACTCCCGCAATCGAGACAAGGACATTCTGGGCATGTTTCATCATGGACTGTATGGTGAGCTCGGGAACATATAATCCACGAGTGCTTCCCAAACAGGAGATGGCGAAGCTGAATGTACCGCGGCCGCCTACTTCTACCGAGTTTGCTTTAGGACCAGGATCATCAGCGCAAGCTGAAGGTGCGGGGGAGAACTTCACCTCGAGTGGAACCGCAACTTCGGTGTATCTTGATTTAGACCAGAGTTTTGGCGTCATGGCTGATGGGTTCGACATCTACTCTGATGTCATGGCTTTTGTTTTCAACGACGGGCGTAAAGCACCAGGCATGTGCTTGCCCGAGAATTGCCCCTGGGTTCCTACATCACCTGTGGCTTGCTGGCGTCGGAGACTCGAGGAATGGAGAACAAAGCAGCACCATCGATTACAGTATCCGGCCAACAGCGTTGCTGCATACGCTACACTAGGCTATGGTGAATCTTTCGTCTATCTAAATCTGCTTTATTACCAAAGGTTTGCCGAAGCTTCCCCCATGTGCAGGGACTTCCCTGGGCTAACACGAAATACCCGTAGTGTCGTCATGCTCCAGCGAGAATATTTTCCGTTCCTACCAACTATTGACATGACTCCTCGTGGACCCATAGATCCCCCTACACTTGAAGCTGAGGCCCCCTCGGGCTGGTGGGAACAGAGTGCAAAGGAGCTATTCGAAGCAGCAGGTCACTTGTCCAGCGTTCTTCGAGAGGCTTCAGAATGTGGCGTTGCAGTCATGACACCCTTCGCTGGGTTCTGTGCGTTCTCATCTTGCTACATCAATCTATATGGATTCATGTTCCCGAGAATTGGTGTCGGCTATGCTACCAGGGCGGAAGAGTACATGAATTGGAGTATAGAGTATCTCAATAAGTTTCGAGAAGTCTGGGACCTTGGGGACGGATGGGTGAGTCATTAAGGCCATTGGAGACGTAGTCCCGGTGGACCGTCGTGAGTTTACTTTTGACTAACGCGTAACAGCTCAAGACCATCCAGAACGGGTCATTGATGTACCAACGAGCCACATCTGATGCCCAAAAATATCGAGGACGATCTCGCTTTGACTTTAGTGTCCTACACCAGTCTGTTCATGAATTTCGGGTAGTTGATAGATCTGCTCAACATTTAGAGGAAATCAATAACGCTGAGCGGGGCGCCGTCAGCACGGGCGAGGGCAACAATGTCCCAGGCGACAAGACGAACCAGAATATCGGTGGTTTAAACCCACAAGCGTTGATAGACGCTGTTGGCAGTATGGATGATCAAGGGCTTTGGCCGAATTGGTGGTCGATGCTGGAAGATGTCGATGCTTCAGAGATGTTCACGATGGGCTAGCCGCATTGAAACAGGGCTTCGAGTGGGATCTTTTCAAGAATGGGTATTATTGAACTGACTATGTACAAAAGTCCGAAGTCGACTTGCCCTGGCAAATGCGTCACGCTCAGCATCAGCATGTCCTTGGTCATGGCCGCCTTTTAAAGAGTTTCTGCTTCAATCTCCTCCAGTGCTTCCCTAAAAACACTGCAAATCTTACGCAGCTCCTCTTCTGTTGTCGTGAACGGAGGAGCAAGTAGGACGTGATCTCCTCTCGAGCCATCCACCGTGCCAGCGCCGGGATAAAGAGCGACGCCCTTCTCAAAGGCCCGCTCTTGAACTCGTAGTCCAAATCGCAGCTTGGGATCGAAAGTCTCCTTTGTCTCCCTATCCTTGACAAATTCGACAGCCCAGAACAAACCTCTTCCCCTGATTTCACCAACTGATGTGCAGTTGATGAGTTCAATGCGCAATAGTACTTCAAGCTGCTTCCCCAACTGAGCGCAGCGGGCGACGAGGTCATCCCGCTTCACGATCCTTTGAACAGCCAGTGCCGCTGCGCAGGCAATGGGGTGGGCTTGATAAGTGTGCCCGTGGTTGAAGGCGTTGGATCCCTGTCTCAGCATGGACACGACCTTTTCGTGCATCAGAACACCGGCAATGGGGCCGTAACCTCCGCCGAGACCCTTGGCGACTGTGACGATATCGGGAACAACGCCCTCCTGCTCAAAAGCGAAGTAAGTTCCGGTGCGTCCGGTTCCGCACATGACTTCGTCGAGGATGAGTAGAGCGCCATGCTTGTCGCAAATCTGACGAGCACCAGCGATGTAGCCGACAGGGGGTGCCACGCAGCCTGCGGTAGCGCCCACCATAGTCTCAGCAACAAAGGCAATGACATTGTCTGGGCCAATCCTTTGGAACTCGTCCTCTATTTCGGCAAGTAGCCGGGCCGTGAATTCATCCTCGGTCTCATCTGCTCTCTGGTACTGGTATGGATATGCTGGTGAAACATATGAGACGTGGGGGTAGGAGAAGCCCTCGTATGGGACCTTTCTCGATGCGACTGTCGAAATCGACATGGTCGCCATGGTATTGCCGTGGTACGCTTGCTTTCTGCCAATAAAATGCTTCCTCTGCGGCTGACCATTTTCGAAATGGTACTGACGGGCCAATTTCAGCGCCGATTCGACAGCTTCACTTCCGCTGCAGACGAAGAAGGCCTTCTCGAGACCATGCGGGTTGCCATCAAGGATGAGGTCGGCAAGTTCCTCAGCTGGCTGTGTCGTATAGGCTTGCGTGTGGACGTAGCTCACTTTTCGAGCTTGGTCCGAGATAGCTTGAATGACTTCCTCGTTGCCATGGCCAATCAGGGCTACAGCAGCACCACCGCATGCATCGATGACTCTCTTGCCGTTGGCGAGATTTAGGTAGATACCGCTTGCTGATTCGACCATGGAGGGGTGTTGGATTAAAGAGCGGTGCATGAGACGACCTTCTCCACCCTTGGTTTTGGTATTCTTGACTGTGGGGAGTTCGGCGTTGGCTGTTGTGAACAGCTCGTCGTCTCTTGCAGGTGCCATGGCGGGAGATGTGGACTGTAGAACAACAACTTGAGATGAGATGAATGTGTAAGTTCTCTATGTGGTTTTTGTTCCCTGAAACAAGGTGGGAGAAAAGAGACAACCGGCACTTTAACTCTCCTAAATAGACCTTCGTTATTCGGCGCTAGTGCTGAAATCCGAGAATCATCGGGATCGACAAGCCAGCGGCTCCGTGTTCACGGAGCCCAACCGGCCCTTTCAAGGGTGGGCCCGCGTCAAAATCATCGGAGGAATTACAATAGAGAATCCACTCTGGACATCTCCATAAAACCTGCAGACGATGATAACCGCATTATCGCGTGAGAAATTCTGATATCGGTTCTGACGCAAACCCGATAGCCGAAAGCCGACTTACAACATTCGATTTTCTCACTCAGACTCGAGAATATGATAAGCTCGAAGCCGCTCAGGGAGGAGGCTGAAACTTTCAGTTCGAAGACAGTATGCTTCTGACAGCTTCTGCCGAATCCATTTGAGTTTTGCCAGGATGGACACTACCGAAAAAGGCACCTACCCCGAGCGACAAGTCGTCCAAAGCCAAGATGGGCACGATACCGACTACTCAAGCGATGACCAAGCCGCAAGTTCAACTCCCAAAGTGGAGGAGCAGACTTACGATGACCGGAAAGCTTGGGTCACGGTTGCTGCGTCGTCACTTACCATGTTTGTCTACCTCGGAGTGATCTACTCTTGGGGCATCATGCAAGTTAGGCTCGTCGAGACGACGGGTTCAAGTCTAACAACCTTGACATTTGTCGGATCAATGGCGACATCTTTCATGATTTGTTTCAGTATTGTTTCCGACAAGATCATCAGCAGGATAGGATACCGGCTGGCTGCGTTGATTGGTGGTTTCTTCATGGGTTTGGGTGAAGTTCTCGCAAGCTTTACTACGCACCATGTCGTCGCTTTGTTCTTTCTACATGGTCTCGTCTTCGGCCTTGGTGGTGGCCTTTGCATCTTTGTGAGTGCAACAAGACTCCTGCTGGGTCTGTAAATGTCCTACTGGCGCAAATCATAACAGCTAATATCATTCCTCACCAGTCTGTCTCGACTGCCCCAATGGGTCTCTTCAAGAAGCATAAAGCATTGGCCATGGGGTTTGTCTTCGGTGGAGGCAGCTTGGGCTCTGCCATCATGAGTGTTGTAGCAAACTACCTTGTCAAAGACCTGGGCGTCTCTTGGACGTTCCGCATTCTGGGTTTCATTCTATGGGGTGTTTCCATCCCTGCATCCTACTTCTTGCCAAGGAGGATGGCTTCGGAAAAGAAAGCCTCCCGTCAGCTACAGTGGTAATTAGATGGAAACAGCGACAAATTGAACATGGCTGACATGTGTTAGGTATCGCTTTAAGGAACCTCGCTTCCTTCTGCTCGTCGGCGGCACTGTGCTTTCCTGCTTCCCGCTCTTCATCCCGCCCTACTTCATTCCGATTTTCTCGAGATCAATGGGCTACACCAAGGAAATTGGGATCATTATTCTTGCCTCCTGGAACTTAGCATCTACGTTGGGCCGTGTTGTCGCTGGATGGGTTGCCGATACTCTTTTGGGACCAGTCGAAAGTCTGGCAATCTGCATGCTCTTCATGGCTCTGAGCTCTCTCATCGTCTGGCCTCTTTCATCATCAATCGGCATCTTCTCCGTCTACCTCATATTCAACGGTATCGGATGTGGTGCGTTCTTCAGTCTCACGCCTATCGCAGTTAGCGCCACATTTGGCGGAGAAAACACCCTCAGCATCATCCCCGTCGTCTGGACGACTTGGTTCTGCGGTTTCTTTTTTGTAAGTCATTCAATGCCTTGCACTACTTCGACTTTTGCTTATCAAGTTAGGGTACTCCCATTGCTTCAGGACTTTACTCCATCTCTGGTGATGTTGATGGTCTTGAGAAGTTTCGCCCTGCCGCATATTATGCCGGAGCAATGGCGTTGGCGGGGTTCGCATGTGTTTCGGGGATCAGGTTTGCGCGGAGGATGGAGAAAACTGAGAAGTCTTGATGTCAGGATTCATCAGATGACCTGGTGGGTAAATGAACAGCATTTTTCTGTCGAAAGTACACCAAATAACGGCCGATTACTAAATTAGAGGTTGACATTAGCACGTATGATACCACAGATAGATCATAGAGGGTAGATAGAGCATAGAGACTGCGCAGATGGAGGGCTACGAGTACTCAGCATCAGCATTGGCATGGGCAATTATATCCACTGATACTTCCAGCCTGGATCATCGTCATTTCCCAAAAGTCGCACGCGAAGCACAATGCGAGTCTTTGTTGACCAGACTGGCATGCCTGATCAAACCAACCAACAGACTGGATCCACGAATGCCCACGATATTTTCGTTGAAAGCCATGCAATGGGCGCCAAAATCAATCGTTCAAATCAGGCACGACGATGGCCATTCAAAAGCTCATCAGAGTCTTTGGCAATTGGGGGAGCATTTATTGGCGGGACTTCGCATATGCGATGATACTACTTAGCGATGCGGGGAACTAGCTTCATGTTACTGGTGGGTTTAATCACTGATATTGGATTACCTTACTTGGCACAATTTGACACTACGTGTAAACACCCCTCAAATTGACAACCCTTGGAAAATCTCCAAACAACCATCCATGGATTGGGATGATCACCATATGGCATTATTGAAGAGGGTTATTTCCATGAACCACGACGTCGCATTTCCTCGTACCCCGCTATGTCTGTGACTTGTGCCTCTAATGTGGAAATTCTTTTACGTCCAAGACCGAGTTTCGGGCTAAAGTAAAAGACTCCGTAGATTCTAATCCGATGTAGTGTAGGTATCTTTAAAAGACAGATGAGCTAAATGATGTTCCAGAAAGTACCTGGAGTTGATCCTCACGTGTTAAGGAAACCGTTTCCCTTGCCTTGCGACGTAAAACATCTAGCCTGTCAATATAAGCTGGGTATCGGCTCTGAACCAAATTTCACACCAGTACATGTCTCAATCGATTCACTGACACATCAAAGCTACGTCGTTACACAGCAATACTTCTTCTTCTTTTCCTGAAGCTGAAACAAAACCATGAAACTCTCATCAATAGTGGTGCTTATCCAATGCGTTGTCGCTGCCCGTGGTGCTGTCACTGAGAGACAATCCAGTGGCTGTCTCGCTTCTGCTACTGGATTTGCTTCTCTGAACGGGGGAACGACTGGCGGCGCAGGCGGAACGGAGGTGACAGTAACTACTCAAGCTGACCTCGAGAAGTATGCCAGCGCATCAGGCAAATACGTGATTAAGATCAGCGGTCGTATCACCATCAGCCCTCTCGGCAAGGAAATCAAGATTGCCAGTGATAAGACCGTCATCGGGTTGGGCACCACTGGCGAGCTTTATCAAGGTAAGCCCTTAACATGTCCTTCCTTTTATCACGTTGTATACTAAGGCGGCTCCAAAAGGTGGTTTGGGCTTGAACGGGGCCAGGAACATCATCATTCGCAACCTCAAGATAGGTCACACCAACCTCAACGATGGCGTGGAAAACGACCGTGACGGTGTTCAAGCCGATACTGTGAGCAATATCTGGATCGACCACTGCCTTTTCGAAGACGGCGGTGACGGCTTAGTCGATCTCCGGAAGGACACCACATACTTCACCGTCTCCAACAACATCTTCCGTAACCACGACAAGACTTTTGGTATTGGCTGGACCGAGAATGTCACGGCTCGTGGAACCATCAACCACAACTGGTTTGACAACACAAATCAAAGAAACCCGAGCGCCGACAATTTGGCACAAGCGCATCTCTACAACAACTATCTCTACGGCGTCACTTCATACGGGCACTACGCTCGCGGCAGCACCAACGCACGTGTCGAGAATGTCTTCTTCGAGAACACCAAGAATCCCTTGACCAAAGACTCGGGTGCCGTACTCAATGCCTCTGGTAATACGTATAAAAGCTGTACTGGCACTACGGCTGCAAACTCGGGAACCGCCTTTGACCCCAAGAGTCTCTATTCTTACACCTTGACTGCTACTGCGGATGTTCCTGCCTATGTCAAGGCGAATGCTGGTCCAAGAGCTTCCGTCTGCTCCTGAGTTGGGAGGATTACGGTCATAGTAAGATATCAAGAATCCTAAAAACATCCCCAGTGTGCCATAAGTTGCAGTCTTATCGTCTGAGTTCTCGAGATGAATCTCGTGGTGGTATCACACATACATCCCTATGAACGGCCCAATGTCTCATTTTTCTCAGTCATTGAAGCAGATCAAGTGGTCATGTACTAGGATAAAAATGGTTTAGAAGCGTTCGTGAGCCAAAGGCTTGCTTCCCCTAGCTTTTGAGACCGATCCTCGCCTACGTCTACGCCCTCCCCAATCTGTGCGCTCAAACCAGCCACTTCCCATCTCCCTTGAGCTTGGTCTTCGACTTTTCCCAGTGACCTGCGTCAAACTTCCACGCCCAAACCTCCTGATTGGCATCGTAGCTAGCTTTGTGGCGTGACTCGAACTGACCGAGGCCGGCGGCACGCATAAGTGACCTCCATGGCTGGTTGTCATCACCCGTTTCAATCCTGAACACCTCACAGCCCAATTCGGTTCGAGCATGTTCAATCAACGCCTCGAGGATCTCGAGACCGTAGCCTTTACGCCAATGTCGGTGATCAATGTTGATGCCGAAGTCCGTCATGCGCCTATCTCCCGACGAAAGTGTGGTCTTGCCGGCGAGAAATCCAGTGGGGTCCACGGTCTCGAAGGTGTTGTAACCACCGTTGCCGATCAACTCGTTGGTCTCACGGAGGATGATGACAATCCAGCCGTTTTTTCCATCTTTCGTAAATTCGACAAACTTGTCGATGCGGGTGCGAATCCTCTCTATAGTCAGGTTCTGTTCCGACTCTTGGAAAGGAAAGTTATCGGGCGTCTGGAGAAAATTGAGCAAATTCTCCGCATCTGACTGAATAGCTGTGCGTATGATCAGCCGCGGAGTTCCGATCTCGAGGACGGAACCACGTCGTGATGAGTCCCGTAGCGCCATGCTGGTATCGAATTCGTATGTTTCGATGCGACAGCTAGGAATGCAATTCGGTGCTGTGCTGAGATAATCAATTAGACTTACACAGCCTACAGTATTGATTTTTGTTGGTCACCAATACAGCGACGACGGAAAAGCGGCCGGTTGGGAGACTCAGCGCTGCTTTATATCTGTAAGATGGGGTCCAGCCGAGGGTCCAACAGATTCGGAACCAAGGAAAAGGACTTGAATCCCTGTGACATTGTTGGTTTGCACAACACAGTGGAATCCCTGCGCTCGACAGAAGAAAAAAAGACCTCAAGGAACTTCCTTTTGAGGGAATCGCAACCCCTGGCTTTCAACGACAGCCTTCGACTACATCCTGGAAGCGTTCAGGCCCCACAAGCATGATCGCCTCACACAAAGCGCGACAAGCGGCACAGCACACAAGTTTGATGTATGCAATTCAGACTATGACGCTATTCACACCCGCCTGATAACTATTGGCAATGCATCACTGCCTGGCCGCATATGACGCGCGCAGAGACGGTCGATCTGTCAAAGTGAGGCTGAAAACATAGTTAGGATACACGTATAATGCGCAGATCACATCATTCCTACCAGAAAGTGCTTACCACGGCCGCCGCCAAATCATGTTGTTGAAATAGCTAGAACGAGGACGCGGCATCGTCTAAAAGGGCGAGAGGTACCTTGGTCACCAGTCGACCACTTGACGCCTCAAGTTTTGATCAAATTCTTCACAAGACACATTACGAGCGGAGACCATTTCTCTGAGAGTTGAGCAATGCAGTTTTCTGCTGCTGATACTCGGTGTCTTGGGTGCTTGTGTCGCAAGATGACAATGTTGGTCCAAATGCTGGAAAGCGTCATAACTCTTTTTCAGATCCCATCTCATCAATGAGTACATGAGTATTGGGCAGAGGGTCGGCCAGAAGACACTATCGAGACCAGAGAGAGTTTGGAAGCATGGGAAAGTTCATTTTTTCAACATCATCTTCATAATTGCCTTAGCCATCTTTACCAGACATACTTCTATACCTTAGGCTTGCATCAACAGACATTCTACTGGGAAGAACCTGTGTGAGATCGGAACTTCATTGGGGGCATATGATTAATATGTCCTTTCCACACATTGAGAGCGACGGTCCCCTGCAATATCACATCACTAGTGGAGAAAAAGCCGAGAATATTTGACTTAGACGAAGGCTACGCCATGTTGCCATCTACTTGTCCCAATGATGTCTAGTCTTCTCTGCTTCCGAAAGACGGCGCCTACTTTGGTCTCCCTGCTTTCACATCTAGTGGTAGTTGTTTCTTTCTGTGTTACATCATCTCCATAGCCTCTATTTGTTGCGCCTATCACTGTACGAGCTTCACCCATTTGCCGAAGGCAATCAGCTGATACTTCTAATTTCACGCCTCATTAGAATCACGATGGCGCACATTAAACTATAGATGCCGACTTCTCGTATGACATATGCCATGTTGGCCACTGTTTTGACCTATTACGTCGAGCTATCATGTGCCGCCTCATGTGTCTACCCTAAATCCTCCTTTAGATACTTTTGAATCCTTTAAATATTAGAGGACGACCTTTCTCAACGTAGAGGATTTAATGACCGAAACTTCAGAGCCCAATTTTGGCACAGTTACCCCTTCTGGGAGTGAGCACGGATGTGTTGACTGGAAAGGACTGATAGATGATGATGCACGAATTACACTGAGATTTTGAAACTTGAACAATTGAACGGTGGTTCTGGGAAATATCCAGTGTTGCACAATTCATATGACAAGCTTCCTGGAGAATGAGACACGCGCCCAGGCAGTGAGGGAAAAGTCTGTTTGATGCTGCTTTCTTCTATCCCTAAGGTTAGGTCAAAAAAGACGTCTTGCTCTTTGCAAGACCGGAGCGCCGCATGCTTAGCTCCTTCTCAGCACAAGCTTTGCTTTTGCCGAGCCTGCCCTACATGTCGATTCTACTTCCATCCTTTTTGTTGACTTGGAGCATTTGACCTCTGCATAAAAAGCAACGGGGAGTAAATGTTCGGAATCAAGGAAGTTTTGTTCATGCTTAATGATACGTGTATGCATGGCGGTGACACCAGCGCGCCTGAAACAGATTCTCCTTGGTCTTAGGCTAATGCACCTTCCTGATTGTTAGAACGACAATCTCTAATGTTTGAGAGTGACATAACAGAAAACAAGTAAGCAAGTAGTAGAGTGAGTTGCACCGCACTGACTAATTTCTCTGAAAATACAAGACGAAATTGATGAGGCTTTCCTTTGTGTGTCTAACTCAATCTTTTCAATGAGTTGTACATGTTGACAAGACCCACTATGGTCGATGTGCCAATCGTGGGCTGTGTATGCTCCTCTTGCTCATTTACACCGTCACAAGCATCGAGTGGAGAGCATAACGAATTGAGGTAGGGAGCTTGAGAAGGCTCAAAGTGGGACTCAAGATGTAGCACACTGCCATCGGTTCAGTTAAGTTTGTCATCCCGGGTCATTCCTACATGAAGGTTTCCAGTTGACTCTACGCCACAGACTCCTCTCTGAGAAACGTTCAATTTAGGTTTAATGAGCCTAGAGCGCATATGGTGGGCGGGAATACTACAGCGCGGCCGGGACTAGCTTCGGAGAAACTGCATGCGGCGGGGAACGATGAGAGGGATGGTTGCATGCCGGCGGAGAATTTTAGTCCACCTATTTCCGTGCCTCCGAACCCCGCGGAAGATAGTACGAGACCATGACTTTAAAGGAGCTTCGACCGCGTGGTCAGTTTGGGAACGATTGGCGGCTATCAGTGACTGGCTTTTATGCAGCCAAGGATTTCAGCTTGAGAACTTAATTAATGATCACGCGCAGTGACGATACTTCCAGCTAGGTTCATAATACCAGGGGTCAAAGGTTTATAAAACATGGAAGTTCCAAAACCTTTGCCACATCTATTTGTTCCTGGACGTGAAAACTGCAGAGAATCATAGATTATCGCTGACAGGCTCGCGTCAACATGAAACCTTTCAACGTACTCTCAACCTTGGCGGTTCTAGTAGGCAACGCTTTTGCGGCTTCGCGAACATCGCCGCCATCCGGCGCAATCGTCGTTGCTAAATCGGGTGGCCAATACACCACGGTGAGTAGATTCAATCGAAAACAAAGCCGCCACGGTTTCTAGGCTCTCACGTGACGATCTGAAGTGGTGTCACTTCGCTGATGTATAATTACCAAAGCTTCAAGCAGCTATCAACTCCATTTCAGCCAGCTCCACCGCAACTACCACAATCTTCATCCAGCCGGGCACTTACTCTGGACAAGTTTCCATTCCCAGCCTGAGTGGAAAGCTCGTCATCTACGCATACACTACCAACGACCAAGACTACACCAAGAACCAAGTCATCTTGACCAATACTCTCTCAGCTGCGGATGCTGGAAGTAACGACTTATCCGCAACGCTGAGAGTTGCGACTAGCTACTTTAGCCTGTACAACGTCAACCTGATCAATGGCTATGGAAAGGGCTCTCAAGCTCTAGCCATCTCTGCGAACGGCCAGTACCAAGCGTACTACGGTTGCAGCTTCGTCGGCTATCAGGACACGATCTATACCAACAAGCCACACCAAGTCTACAAGAACAGCTACATTGAGGGTGCGACCGACTTCATCTTCGGTAACGATGGCAACGCTTGGTTCGAGAAGTGCACGATCGCCATCAACGGTGCCGGATACATCACTGCGAGTGGTCGCGATAGCGCCGACGCCTACTGGTACGTGATCAACAAGGCCACAATCGCAGCGAAGTCAGGTGCTGGTGTGGCCAAGGAGTCTACCGTGCTGGGCAGGCCGTGGAGGGAATACGCGCGCGTTGTCGTCCAGAACTCACAACTCAGCGATGTCGTTAAGCCTGTTGGGTGGTCTGCTTGGGGCACTAACCCCACTGCCAACGTTTACTATGCGGAATATGGCAACACTGGAACTGGTGCCAGCGGCACGCGGGTGAGCTGGGCCAAGAAGCTGTCAAGCGCGGTTTCTATTGACACAATTCTTCCGGGCTGGACTTCTTGGGTTGACACGACTTATTGGAACTCGTCTTGAAGTTTTGCTTTTCATAGCAGACGTAGCTCTTCAGGGGAAGCTCTTCTTCAAGAAACAACCCAAAAAGTCGAGACTTCTCCAATAACTCATTTTTTCATTCTTAATGAAACTGTTCATTCACGTTTGGTATATCATCATATTTAGTCCCTTAATTGACTTGTGTTTTGTGTTGGTCGATGATTACTTCGGAGCATTGACGCTGGCGATTTTGGACTTCCTAAAGCTGACGACTCGACATCGTAATCTAGTCTGGTACCGATCTGTCCTAAGGTGTTGATATTATTTATCAAACCTCCATCGTCGATATCTCGAATTTGTGATGTTAACTGATCGTTCTGTCGAGAAAGCTCGGAAACGTCAGTGCGATTGCAAGAGCTTTTAGGAATTTGAGTTGCTGATCGGAAAGGCCAAATCTTCCAATCATAAGACAAGTATGGCCGCAGGGGCGGTAAACAAGCAATGATCAAACCGACTTGCAAGTCGATAGCACTCCATAACTCTGTCAGGTCAGTGTTAGCACCATGCTCCGTGCAAGAAGGTAAGATGCTGTATTGGACATCAGATTGAAACGAGTTTCGACTCACCAATGAGTGTGAAGGAGCGGAAAGATGTTACAGACACCTGAATGCCCAGGAACCGTGCCAGGCTGACTGCTAAGTTGATGGCTCCCAGGAAGAATGTGCAGTAAACACTGATCTTAACACTTTTCTGGAGTTGCAGTCGGTACAATACTAAGAATGGCAGACAGAATACTTTGGAATGTGTGAGAAGTCCTGATGCTCGTTTATGTCATAGACACAGTGATGGGAAACTTACTCATTAGATCTGCGGCAAAGTTCAATGCCCAAGCGATTTGGAATACTTGAGCGAACACTATTGGGGAACATGCGACTGCCGGATCTTGGGACCTTGAAGAGACTTTAGTTGAAGGCAAGGTTTCCATGATCAAACGGATTAGCCTTACCAATTTCCTCGCAGAGGCCTACAAATGAGAAGTAGGGTGAGTATGTTGGTAACATACGCACAGCCACAATACACCATGGTTCCCCAGAGAATCTTGCGCCTAGTTTCCATGAAGATCGGGAAAAATCGAGCGTATAGACTCAGGAGTGTTGCCTTGCAGAGATAGAAGGCTGTGAAGAATGGAAATTGGCCACTCCATTGCAACTGCATAGAGTGGTTACTAAACTGACTTGAAACACCAAGACGCCCTTGTATCTCTCCAGAATCAAGACTCTTACTTCTCGGAAGTCAAGGACGCTTACCTTCCACACAAGTTCTAGGTCCTCGGGTGTTCCGTCATACCCCTCTAGGGTATAGGCAACGTGGGAACGTAGTACTCCCATCTTATGGAAAACAACATCGTATGAGGCAGATGCTACAGTAAAGAGCCATGCAACACAAACGAGAATGTCGCTCGTGATAAGGGGAAGGTTTTGAATGACTAATCGCAGGTATATTCGGGCGCCGATCAGAACAGCCGCGATTCCTATCAGTGTGAATTCGGTTCCCTAACTATATTAGCCTGACTAGGTTTTTGATCTGAAAGACTGCGTAGAAGCTAGGATCATGC